CCCCCGAATCTTCGATACGGGGGCATAATAAAAGGATCGACCGGAATTTGAAACCGGGGCCTCTCACATTCTAAGCGAGAGCCATACCCCTAGACCACGGAGTCACTTGCTTTACACAAATTAAATGCAAACATTAGGTCACATATAGTGTTTATATTCACGTTCGATATTGTCAAAATTTTACACAATACATGGTGTCTAATTAAGCCTTTACTAAACAGTTCTAATAGATGTAATTAGAATATAAAATCCGCCGACAACCTGTATTATACGTAATAACTCTCCAGATGCCCCTGTGCTATAAATAGTGCCAAGCGACTTTCAATACTATAAATTGAAAAGAAAAAAAAAACCGGGCGGGACACTTTGAGAGGGGTGAGAGAGGCCAAAGGGTGTTATGGTATTAAATTTCATTGCAAAAGCTCAAAAGCTTCTTGAAATATCGCCCGAAAACAAAAGTGTTACACACAGACGGAATTTATGAATTTACGACCTTGAACTATGACCTTTTGACCTCAAAATCAATAGGGGTCTTTCTTAGGCCACAGGGAGTAGTTATGTAAAATTTCATAGCAAAAGCTCAAAGATATCACGCGGAAACGAAACTGTTAAAACAGACAGAATTTGTGAATTTATGACCTTGACCTTTAAACCTCAAAATAATAGGGTTCTATGTAAAATTTCATTGCGAAAGCTCAAAGGGTTCTCGAGATATCGCACGGAAACGAAAGTGTTACAGACAGACAGAAATACAGACGGACAGACAGACCCAAATTAATATTCCCCACTTTCAGTGAAAGCGGGAGACAAAAAGAGAAGATATCACATAACATATAGTAAAAACCAATCGCGGAAAAGCAGTATAGAGTAGTCGCGGAAAAGCAAATAAAGACACGGAAAAGCAGGTCAGCCAGTTAAAGTAAAAATACATGTGGTTAATATTTAGAATCTTGTTGCTACGTGTATTTTAGTGCCGATGTTTTATTCTAATCTTATTCGTAAGTATGATTATATTTCTTATACTACAACACAGAAAGTATGTTATTAATGATTTTCCATTCTTCATTTTACAGAATGACCAATTTTTGTTCATTTTTTGACTACAAAACTGTATGTAAATTACAAATACATGTACAAGGGTAAATATTATATCAAATTTTTACTACTGTAACAATAATTTTTTTTAAAAAAAGAAATCAACTACTTCAAATATTGTTTCTACTTTATCTTGCATTTATATTCCATCACAGACCCAAAGTATTATTTTTCCCTAGGTGACCTGTTGTAGACGGGGAAGGTTAACTATTAGTCCAGAAATATAAGCCAAAGTAGATCAGAACCGTACCTAAAAATGCCAAGACACCTAAGGGAGGTAACATCTTTATACGGCAAAAGACTGACGAGTAAATGAAGAATATTGAAAGGGAGATAACGCATATTAATTTGCGATCCATCCTTAAAACGGACAATACATGCGGGTCAAGTCTTGATCTTAATGCACCTGATTACGTCCTGTATCTTTCAAGAGCAGATTATCTGCATATAATAAATTTACATTTTTCTAGCAATAACAGGTTTTTGTGGTATATTGACAACTGTAGGACCAGATTAATTTTAAAGTAAAAAAAAAAGCAAGAATTCACGCTTAACTTTTTCGTCTCTCTGTGTCATCTTGTTGCAATCAAAACCATGAGTATTTAGGAAACACGTGTCACAAGCAGGTGACTTTTAAATAAAACGTGTTTCTCCTCAGTCATTCTCCTATATGTCTACCACGTGAAGAAACAAATACAGACAAGATAATATTTTGATGTAAAGCATCAAATAGGCAGCAAACGCTCTGCGTACTGATCTTAATACCCAGGATCATGAAACAGACTTAGACTTAAGTCAAATTTTCAACCACCTGTCAACTTTTTAATAGTTATTGAATTGATCTCTAAATTTGCAGAACATTTTTGTTAAGGAATATTAAATGAATATTTTAATCTGGACTTCTTGCCTTTTACAATATTATAGTACAACAGAGAGATTTTGACTTAAGAAGGCTGGGTGGTTGTGGCCATTTTCAGACTATATTGATCTCCTTTAAAAGAAGAGCTCCATATAAAGATATACAAAAAATGATCAAATTTTAAAACTAAAATGTATGAAATTTTTGTTTGCCAAATGATAGTTGACAGCTTAAGATATCATATCTAAAAAATTAAGTTATATCTCATGGTTAATTTGTTGACCCCCCAGCCTCCTTAAGCTTAAGATATTTCATGATCCTGGGGTCTGACGATTTCTGTAGGCGTGATGATGGACATCACAATAAATGTGAAGTATCGAAAATTTATCGTTTTGTCATTCGCACCTGCAGCAAATTCAAAACAAAATTAAATAGCAATATTTTCTTAATTTTTATAAATACTGTAATTTTCCGAAAACTTGCGGTCGTATCGAATTGCTTTTAAACATTATACACTCCCATGCCGGGGAGCATTTCATGTAAGATTTTTTTTTTGTAAAATTTATAAATTTTTAATTCATGATATATGATTAAAATTGATTTAAAAAAAGTTGAAAAGCATTAATAACAATAATTAAGAGATAATACAAAACTATTTTTAAAATTACTTATTCGACACTTTAATGCATGCTATCAATAAGGAATTATTCTATCAAAACAATAAAAAATAACACCCCATTTCCTTGTGTGCACTTTCTAACACTTGTAACCAGAAATTACTCTTTCATATTTTAGTAGGTAAAGGACTTTTTTGAAGTGTATTTCATGCTCGATCAAGCTGGTTTTCTAATTCAAAATGGATTCTATTTAATGTGTAAGAAGAGAAAATACCACTATTCAATGTACATGTAATTTGATTTCAGTTGGGAACTCAAATCATTTAACAAATAAAAAAATATTGTATGTACTATAGGTATTTGTTGTGATTGCATAGAAAACTACAATGCCGTTACAGCTACTCACAAGTTTATGGTATCTTTGCTCTAATGTAACCTTATCTAGAATTTTAAAAAAAAAGTCAAAAGAGAGAGGTTTTGAAAATTTTGTAAACTGTAGAATACACTAGTAGAAAAAAAAAATAAAAAAAATTAATAATATTAGGTAATATGGCAATATACGTTGTTTTAAAGTGTTTGAAGTGTTTTCCACTTGAATTCGGTATATATGGGGAAAGTTATAAGTGTGTATAAACAATTATACATACAGGAAAATATATTCTTTTATGACGCGATCGCTATCATCTTCACGTTTTAAATAGTCTCTATTACTGTTATGAAATGGCTTGTGCATACTGTGCTGTTTAGAGACAAGAAAGATAAAATTTCGGTCAAACAGCTGACGTTCTAGGTCAAGAATTAGAATGGAGATATATTGTATGTTACAGAAGTGACATATAGGCCCGATGGGCCAAGAGTTTAAATTCCTATTTTATGTGTATTTTGATGTTGTGATTTTGCATAATACAGATCTTTATAATAAATCATTTACTTACTTACTTATACGTCAGCTTGGTTAACAGGGATTCTTAGCTTTGAAAATGTTTTATTTTCACAACTTCAAAACTAAACCAGCCTTCAGTAAGAATAAACCAAGTGAACTTGTATGTACATGTGTGTAGCAGGTCATTTTCAGGGGTTGTCTCTCTTTTTCTAAGAAAGTTTACTAAGATATTAACTTTGTGCCCTTTCGCATGAAGTGAAAGTTTTAGGGAAAAATTAACTCCATGGGAAACATATTCACATAGAGCAACACAAATTTTTAACATAAGAAAATTGCAGGGAAAAATTTTTCTTTCAGCTACATTGCAATACACTTTTTTATTTGAATCAACGTTACACGTATATGAAATAGGTTTAATTTTAATATATCAGAATAATTTCATAGATGTTTGCTTGCGTTTATATCAGAATATTTTTAAAGATATTCGTCACGAATTAATAAATTAAGAAGAGGGGTTATGAGAGATTATTTCAAATTCAGGTTTTTCTAGACTAGAAGTAGGAGTTGCAAATCTAAATTGTATTTTGATAAAAGTATAACTATGTCATGAAATTTCACCCACCTAACTATCAATATATCATTCCAATATGATATTATTTGTTTTGATTTTGTCCCTCTAATCCCCCTTCCCTCCCCCTACATCCCTAAAGATTATACATCTAGTACCATCTAATACAGATAAAGCTACACGTATAATGACTTCGTATATTTGAATTTTGCTTTAACTGAATAAAAAAGTTATGTTTCAGGTAGTAGGTTCATTTAAGGAGGCTGGGGGGTCAACAAATTAACCACAAATTAACCACCAGATTTAACTTAATTTTTTAGATACGATATCTTAAGCTGTCAACTATCATTTGGCAAACAAAAATTTCAAAAATTTTAGTTTTAAAATTTGATCATTTTCTATATCTTCATATGGAGCTCTTCTTCTAAAGGAGATCAATATAGTCTAAAAATGGCCACAACACCCCAGCCTCTTTAAATTAAACATCACTTAATAGAAGTAAATTAGTGAATGATAATAAAGAAGATAAGAAATAAATAAGTAAAATTGTATGATTTTCACACAAATTTATGATCGTGAAAACATGGCAAAACGTTGTTTTTTATATGGTTGCATAAATTAAAAGTTTAAATTTCTCATTCTTTTTTAATTATATATAGCTGACCCTGATATACTGACCACTAGATTCGAATAATCCGAAATAACGCTAAGGAAAATAAACTTTTTCTTGCCCGATGGACTAGTGAGATTAAAAATTACATGTATTGTCTACATGTGTATATAATTGTACCTGTATATCATGAATAGAGCTAAATTCATTAAATTATGATCAATGCTTCACAGTTTTTATCAAAAAAAATCTTTAAAACATTATCAAATAGTTCATAAAATGAGAGGCGACCCATTTATTAACTTGAGAGATTTTCAAGATATCTAAGCACTGAAGACTTCAACACTGTCCTGAAACGCCCCGACGTCCTTGACAGACAAAACCAATATAAAAGTCTCGCGACACTGCATGAAAAGTGAACAGATAACACAGCTTTTGAACAAGGTAAGTCCATTGTTATAACGATATGATAAATATATTAAACCTCTTAAAAATATTGTATAATTTTTCCGTATGCATTGATTCCACATAGTCATTCACTTAATCAAAACGCTGATCACATGGAACTTGTAATTAAAATAAAAGCAGAGAAAATATTTTCAACGGATTGTTTTGAAATTAAAGTGTCATCTTTTTAAATCGAAAGAATGGCAACTTTGATACCTGTATGGAGCTGTTTGACTCTAGGATGCCTTGAATGCCCCCTCCACTTTAAAAAAAAAAATCTTTTTAAGACCAAGTTGATCAATGAAAGATTCCATATGTTTTACATATCCAAGTGTGGATTTTTAATCAGAGATGTCATTACTTGAGTACAGAAACTAGAATTTAAGAACATGTGCTCAAAAAACTTGAATCTGATACTAAAGATGCAATACAATACAATGATGGTCTCATGCGGAATTCGAAACAAAATTGGTCATTTATATTCCCAAAGGCAGAATTTGTGGAAGTTGTGTCATTCTTATGCTTGTAATCCCTTTAGAAGGGGTTTCTTTTAGAATCTTTAAACTCGTTACTGATCTCAAAAATATAGGCAACACGCAGCATCAAGCATCAAAACTGATTTGCATCCTCAGAGCAGAATCCATGAAAGTTTGATCATTGTGAAATCGATCGTTATTTAAAAACATCGTAATTTAAATGCTACACTTCAAACAACATGTCCCGAGCAAAGTATCATCTTAAGGTATTCCATCCTTAATAGCCTCAGATTCTATGACAGATGTGAATGGGTTTAATACTTAGTACATTTAGATACAATTATTACTATCAGTATATAAGAATAGAATGTATCCTAATTTATGACCTTGACCTGTCCTTGAAGAGTTATCTCCCACTATTTTCTAATCAATAAAAATCACTTTAAAAACATATCTGATAGAAAAATCATTTTAAATTCTTATTTTATCCCTAATGATTAAAAACATTGTTTCACCAAAGTTTCTCAAATTTTGAGTGCGGAACAACACCCGTTTGGGCCCCTTGGCCAAATAAATAAACATGGCCAATCACTTAAAAAATACAATCACGTTGAATATAAGCGGTATTCCATTGACAAGCTTAATTTGGAATCAAATCTCAGCGCATTGGGATCCTTTTCACCAAAATCAAAATTTCAAAACCTCACTGAACATCTAAAGGACATATTCAATCATTTAAAAAAGATTTTTGGCTATTTCTCTGAATGAAAGACTAGAAGACAAACTGACCAACGGACAAGGATAACGAGAAAATACCGAAACTTTTTATAGGTATGGGTATAATAAAATTTGTCTTTTTCAGATAAACATGAAGACTCTGCTTGTAATAACCTTGTTCGCATTCTGTAGCGGACACAGAATTCACTTCCGTAACAACTGTAACAAGGAAGTGTGGGTAGGAATTCTTGGAAATACCATACCCGATCAAGGTGAGAATCATATCTACTTGACGGATCAATTCAATGTGAGAAATTTTTGACTAAGTTGTTTAATTCAAGATTCAGACACATCTTGACTTCAATGATGTTGAGTAACTCTATGCAATTAAATTTTGTCTAGGTGGCTTTAAGCTTTCCCATGGACAAAGTCACAGTGCCTACTTCCCGCCTCACTGGTCCGGAAGGATGTGGGGACGAACAGGTTGTGGCGGATCTCGCTGTGAGACTGGAGACTGTGGTGGAGGACGACTTCACTGTAGTGGAGCTGGTGGAGTTCCCCCTGTAACTCTCGCTGAAATCACGTTTGACGGTTCCGGAAACCAAGACTTTTACGACATCAGTTTGGTTGACGGTTTCAATCTACCTCTGAGCATGCGCCCAAGAGCCGGAACAACAGAAGGGGGATCAGGATCATATTATTGCCGTTCTGCTGGTTGCTACACAGATGTCAACAATATTTGTCCAAGTGGTATGAGGCTTTATGGCACAGGCGGAGTTGTGGCTTGCAAGAGCGCTTGTCTCGCATTCGGAAGACCAGAGTACTGCTGCAGTGGCACTCACAACACGCCGGAGAGGTGTCCAAATTTCCCCTATGCCCAAACATTTAAGTCAGCATGTCCTCAGGCCTACAGTTATGCCTATGATGACCATAAGAGCACATTCACCTGTAGGGGCGCAGGAGGAAGACAGTCCGAATACGACGTAGTATTCTGTGGTTAAATTATGTGATGTTAGTGAACTTTGTACCGAAATAGGATGCTTAATCGCGTCATAATTATGTTATCTTAGGATCGTTTTGGTCAGCTTATGAAAACATTATTTTAAATCATGGCTTTCAAACATTATATTAGGAGTTCTTTCTTGATTAATAAATTTCTATTCGTTTTTCCTTTATTTTTTTCATTAATAAAGGAGATCAGGTCTTATTTCCTGTTAGAGTTTTTTGCGGTCGCTCGCATTTAAGTAAAACCCCACAAATGCTACCAACACTGTTCCTCTTTGATCCGCCCCTGGAACATAGTTGCCAACACTGGTAACAAAGTCGCCAGTAGGCTATACAAGACCAAGATGGAGGAAATGGAGAAAACTCAGTTGTTGGAAATCCAAACTTCCAAACTTTGTCAATGAAAATTTATGATTCTGTGTTGTTGATTCCGAGAAAAAAAAAACTCGTAGACTTAAACTCGATCTTAAACATAGCCAACCTAATTTTATTGATGTTGAAATATGACTGGAATCCCCCCCCCCCCCCCCCCCAAAAAGGATAGTAAAAACACAGATATCGAACCTGTTGATTTGTTACAGCTAGTAGTTCGTAGATCAACGCGACCAATCGCATATCGGCATAATTAAAATGTAAATCATAACTAAAAGCAAGTTCAGCGTGCGACGGTACGCGCTGTTCGACACTGCGAGCTCTTAAAGCAACGCTTGGGCGAAGAGAAAATTCGGACTTCGCAGATTGATCAAAATAATTTTCACCACAGTACCTCGAGACCCAAAATGCAAACAGAATTCATCTCCCTGCTGACTACGTTCTTACGGTAACAACAAAATTTCACAAAATAATAAACTCGCATTGATTTAACATTTATTTAATGGATATTGCAGATAAAAAAAAAAAGACGATTAAAAGTTCTTCTAAAATTTGCACTTTTCAGTCTCTGGTATGGTAATGCAACTAAAATACGACATCATTTAGACGTTCCAAATGTCTTGATCGTACGATTTGAAGAGGCGGATCTAAGTTAAAAGTGAAAAGGTATATTCTAGAGAGTCCGTATAGGGTCATATACATGTAGTTCATAACGCACCACCGAGCATCGACTAAAGGGTCGATGGCACCATAATGCGTTGGCGCGATGATGATGAAGCGATGGCACGATAACGATGATGCGACAGTGCGATGACGATGATTTGATGGTGCAACAATGCGGTGAAGATGGTGCGATAGCACGATGGAGCGATAGTGAATATCGCTTCATCGTCATCGTGCCATTATGCCAATGTCATCGCACCATGGTGTCATCGCTATCACACCATTGCTTCATCGTCATCGCACCTTCGCTTCATCGTCATTGCATTATCGCGTCATGGCAACATTGACGGACCCAAACCTCGATGGTGCGATAGTAAGCTACATGGCCATATCCTGATTCCATAATATCCAGTAATGCACAACTTATCGCGCTCGCCCCAACGGTCAACATATTATCAGAATGAATCCTTAAAATTATTTTTAAATTTTTTCTTATCCCCTGAACAAATTTGTCATTCATTATAAAACCCTTGATCTTGTGTTTGAAAATGTAGAGCAAAATTATAGTTCTATAATTTAGCGTCCTTGACCGATGGACACCAGTGATATAAAAGTTGGACACACGGTGAACCGAACAAAATCTAAGAGTTATTTTCGAAGAAGGTGAGTTTAGAAACTTTACTTTATTTCTAAGAATTTAGACATTTCAGAATATGTTACAATTCTTCAAAAATTGTATTGATATGATATGAGAAAAATTAGCGAATAACATTTTTTTTAAATAGATACAATGTAAGAGTGTCCAATTTACCTGGTTAAGCGTTTTGCATTCCAATTAAATATACAAGCTTACATTAATCATTTATTTTGAGTATTTGTCCTTGTTGTCAAAAATTATACATATGAATGAAAATCCATAATTTTTATCCATTCATACTGAGGGTATACATACATTTGAATACCAGTATATCATTTTTTTCAGACAACCATGAAGGCCCTGATAATTCTAGCTGTGATTGCTCTATCTAGCGGACATAGAATTCACTACCGGAACAACTGCTACAAAGAAGTCTGGGTAGGAATTCTAGGCAGCACCATTCCAGATCAAGGTGAGAAATATTCGAGTCATAGGCGTCGGAATCGGGGGTGGGGTGGGGGTGGAGGGTGGGGGTTAGCCCCCCAATTTTTTTTGTAAAGATAGACACAATATAGGCATTGAAAATTGGGGCTTAGTCCCCAAACTTATTTTTTGGTTTAGCCCCCCACTTCCAATTACCCCCCTCCCCTTTCAATTTGCTTCCAACGCCTATGCGAGTTGTATAATGTGGATTATCCGGGAGTCTTGATGAGTAAACCTGATCAATTTATTGTCTACAGGGGGATTTAAGCTTTCCCATGGACAAAGTCACAGTGTTTATCTCCCACCTCACTGGTCCGGAAGGATGTGGGGACGAACAGGATGTGGCGGATCTCACTGTGAGACTGGAGATTGTGGTGGAGGACGACTTCATTGTAGTGGAGCTGGTGGAATCCCTCCTGTTACTCTCGCCGAAATCACGTTTGACGGTGCCGGAAACCAAGACTTTTACGACATCAGTTTGGTTGACGGTTTCAATATTCCTTTGAGCATGCGCCCAAAAGCTGGAACTACAGAGGGGGGATCAGGATCATATTATTGCCGTTCTGCTGGTTGCTATTCGGATGTTAATGCTGTTTGTCCCAGCGGTATGAGGATTTACGGTACTGGCGGAGTTGTGGCCTGCAAGAGCGCCTGTCTCGCATTCGGAAGACCAGAGTACTGCTGCAGCGGCGCTCACAACACGCCGCAAACGTGTCCAAATTTCCATTATGCTGAAATCTTTAAGAGAGCCTGTCCTCAAGCCTACAGCTACGCCTATGATGACAATAAGAGCACATTCACCTGTAGGGGCGCCGGAGGAAGACAGTCCGAATACGACGTGGTATTCTGCGGTTAAACTGCATGTACACGTACAGTTTTTACCAAAACACAGTGTATAATTACGGCATCGTCATTTTGATTTTTTTTGTACTGTGGTATCAATATACATCTACATGTGTAATGAATTCTTACTTCAAAAATTATGCAACCAACTTTCTGAATACATGTAGTTATAGATATATTACAGAAATGCATGGACTTGGAATATTGAAATACAATGTATTAATTTTATTATTATTCAATATTTTTAATTTATCTTTTTACGATTTAAACAGCGTAAATACGTAATGTCGATAAAGATTGTAGTTAACTTGAATTAGATTTAAATAATTGATTTGATTAGAAGAATATACACATAATCATTATTTAATAATGTCAAAGTTTAAGGACCGGGCAACTACAGAAGTATTCTTGAACATTACATGATAAAGATTAAGTGATACTTTGATTGACCATTGTCCAGCTAGTAGATAGGGCAGAATGACCATAACACGTTATCTATCACGATTCTCTTCATGCGCAGATCTAAAGGGGGTTGGTTGGTTAGGGGTCCGGACTCCCAACCCCGAACCCCCGAAATTTGCAGAGTTATTATATTTATATAATACTGAAGCAAATAAAAATTGACTTTGAACTCCCTCCCCTCCCCCAGAAAGTGGAACCACCAATACCACCACTACCAAAAAATCCTGGATCCGCGCCTGTTTTTAACTCACCTGAGCTGATCACCAATTGTCCGTCTATAAACTTGTCATATTTTCAACTTCTTCTCAAGAACCGCTTGGTCAATTTTAACCAAACCTGGTGCAAAACATCCTTGGGTAAAGGGGAGTTTAAATTGTTAAAACGAAGGGTCAAGCCCCATTACAAGAGGAGATAATCAAGACAAGACAAAAATAGGGTGGGGTTATTAAAAAAAATCTTCTTCTCAAGAACCACTGGGCCAGAAAAGCTGAAACTTATGTGAAAGCATCCTGAGGCAGTATAGATTCTAAATTGTTCAAATCATGACTCCCGGGGGTAGGGCGGGGCCACGATAGGGAATCCAATTTTTACATTGAAATATATAGGAAAAATCTTTAAAAATCTTCTCCTCGAGAACCACTGGACCAGAAAAGCTGGAAGCATTCTGGGGTAGTATAGATTCTAAATTGTTCAAATCATGGCCTCGGGGGGTAGGGCGGTGCCACAATGGGGAATCAATTTTTCACATTAAAATATATAGGAAAAATCTTCTTTTTAAAAACCACTGGGCCAGAAAAGCTGAAATTTTTATATATGTGGAAGCATCCTGGAATAGTTTAGATTCTAAATTGTTCAAATCATGACCCGCTGGGGTAGGGTGGGGCCACAATAGGGAATCCAAATCTTCTTCTCAAGAACTACTGGGCGAGAAAAGCTGAAACTTACATGAAGGATCCTGGAGTAGTGTAGATTCTAAATTGTTCAAATCATGACCCCCGGGGGTAGGGCGGGGCAACAATAGGTATTACAAGGGGAAAATCTGGTGAAGAACAGCAAGGCCAAAGTTACTTAGGTGAGCGTTGTGGCCCATGGGCCTCTTGTTGTTTAAATATATTACATACATTGAAGAAACAAGATTGTAGCATGATTATCAGTCAATAGAGTGTAAGGGGTATTTTTTTGAGGCTGCTAAATATTATGCTAAAGCTGATCAATTTTATACTATTTTCATTGATCCCTTTATAAGAGGGATAACTCTAACTTGGATTTAGTTAAAACTTTTGCCATGGATGCAAAGTATGCTGAAATCGTTTGCAATTTAATTATAGAATAGATTTTGTCGGTAAATCATTAACAATAAAACAAAAATGTATCTCAGTGAACAGAGGGATGGGGTACCTTAAACAACTTTATGTATAAGCAGAGACCTGTAATATGATGTAAATTTTAATTTACTATCTGATTTGGTATAATAAATACAGAACTGGTCAAGCTTAAGACGACCGACGGGAAGCGCATGTGTCAGTTATACATGTACGTACTGGAATATATGCAGCAGTTTCATAATTTTAAGGAATTTGTTGATTTATCAAATTTTACACAATAAAACATGTCTACGAAGCGGAACTACCGGTAACAGGTCTTGTAGAATAGGCTTTCTCCTCTAAAATCTTTTTCCCCGGAAAATAGGATCTAGAGTAGGATTTCCCCCACGGAAATATGATTCTAGAGTAGGATTTCCATACGGAAATTCCACATCAAAATTCAATTTCCCGGGGGAAATCATACACTGTGTAATAATTATAGAGCGCAATTTCCCCCAGAGCCAATTTTCCTCTATAAAATATGGCTGTACGAGGGAGAAGCGGGCGACATATTGTTTCAAGTGTTCCTTCTTCAAAATGACATCCAGTTCCATTGAAACATACTAAGTATAGAAATTAAATTTTAAATCTCATTTTTCTCAGTAACCATGCAACCAATTTTTTTAAGCATAAAAATCTTAAGTTACTCTTTTCATTTGGTCAAACTGGTTTCTAGAAAAAAAATTCGGTACAATGCAATCGGTTCGACAAATTTTAACTGTATCCATAGAAACAAAAAGGTATTTTTATTTTAAATGGATTTTTTTCTCCAATAAATTATTATTGTCTTACAAACTTCTGGTGTTTAAATATTGCCTAAAACTAAAAATTTGAAATTTTGCAAAATTTTAAAGAGTATTACATAGCTGGGTGTGTCTATGGTTTTGGCTTTTTTCCCTTTGAAGAACTACTCGATTCAAATACTCACAAAATGTCTAGTAGAACCAATCAATAACATAAATTTTAGAATTTTCATACTTTCTTTGTAAAAAGGATGTCTTTCATATAAACTTTTTGCCACGATATTGTCGATATGATTTAAGCATTAATAAAAGAGCGGGAAATCCTACTCTGAGAAAGATGGCTCGTGTGAGATTTCCCCTCGGGGGGAAATCCTACTTTATAGTACAGATTCCGGGGGGAAAGCTGGCTATGGAGGAAATTCTACTCCAGAACGGCTACAACATTAAGGACTGAAGAAATTGAGTTGGGCAATTAGGAAGCACAAACCACTTACAAAATAAAAACACAGGAAAAAATAAACGAAATAAAATAAAATAAAATATAGAACTCAGTAACAAATACATTTTTACTTTACAAAGAGTAGCTTTTTGGTGAAACTTTGGACTTATTATATTGAGGTCCAAGCCTAGCGTATGTGTGTATGAATCTAAGGAATATGTATTAAACATACTTTCAAGAATTTAAATTAAAGTTGGGATAAATTGGTGTTAATCATAAAACTGTAACATATTTTCATAAAAAGACATGCATTATTTTACGTAATGTCATACAATTGCAATTCAGTGCAATGTGGATTTTTTTTTTGGACCAATCTTTTTCAACTAAATTTACTGCAAGGGACGCTGCTAATGAATAACATTATGATATTGTTGCTTTTATGTACGTTTTTCCGCATCAATAAAATTTTGACAAATTAATGTAAGACCGAACTCCATTCTAAGCAAATTGATTCAGCATTACATATTAATCTATTTTCATTTGGGGGGGGGGGGGTCATGGGTTTTAAAGCTGCCAGTTTAAGATAGTTACAATGTACATGCAGGTCTAGTGAGAAAAGTATAAAGTAATAATTTTAAGAAATCAGCGCATACAGAAATTATTAGTAACCATCGCATAAATTTGTCAAATAATAAAACCATAACGCATTTTTATTGATTGTTAATTTGTAATTGCGTTCTAAAAAGATATCTAGTTTTGTGAATAAATAAAATATCAACAATAAAAACTATTATTGATTGCTGATTTTTTTTTAGTTAATTGAAGGTTATCATGGAAATATATTTATGATCCATTTATGATATGTACACGTTTACAGGTAACCTATACAAAAATCCACTCGAAGTTTTTCAAAAAATTTATTTTGTATAATTGACAAACTGATGAAAATGGCTGAAGGTATTTGTAATCTAGACGTAGTACACCGATTGTCTAATAACGTGGTCTTCTTCGCCTTCGTTGAGATGACGGACGGGAGGATCGTTGATTAAAACCACCGGGACCGGAAGTGAAGCTCGAGCGTCGGTTACCTCCGCCGCCCCACTGAGATCCGCCAAGGAAATCTTGCTGACCAAAACCTGAATCAAATCCGCCATTATCCCAGGACGAAAATGACGAGGGGGAAAACCCGCTGCCTTGCGCACCCAAACTTCCAAATCTGTCGGAGTGAATTCCATCAAATGTGGAAATTCCTAACTCTGAGTTATCAATTCCGAGACTGTTTGCGGAAAGACCTGATCCTAATGCCGGAGCTCCAATGAAATCAGCTTGAAAACCGCCCACATCTCCGATCTGGTTTCCGAAGTCAAAACCGTTGTTGAAATCTGTATGGAATTCTCGTCCACCGGAATTGAAGTCTCCACCGAAGAAATCATTGCCACCTAATCTGCCGAGTCTCTGGCCGTAGGATAGAGCCAGGAAAAACAGAGCTATGATGACTCTTAGCATCTGTGTAATTAAGTAATCAATTCATCAAAATTGAATTTTACAATTGCAGTATCTGAAGAAATTAAATAAAGATTTGAATAATAAAATTAAGATAGTATTATTATATGATATTTATATTTCAGATTATATTCCTTTAATAAAGGGAATGAAAGGGGTCCTAAATTATTATAAATTATTCTCTCTTTTTTTTTGTTTTGTTTTAAAAGCAACCAAAAAAAAAAAAAAAAAAAAAAAAAAAATTAAATACATGTGTAAATTTTGTTCGTCGCTATATTAAAGAAAACTTTTAAAAATGAAAACGAATTAACAAATAAACTTACCTTGGCAGTGAACTAGGCAGAAGTCAGCCGATTTATGAAAGAAAGTCTCTATAAAGGTTTTATACCTTTAACAACTACTAACAGCAAGATGCACTTCGCTCATCTGTTAACGAGGCAAACTGATTGATGACAAGTCCGAGTAAACACTTACATGGGCTTCCATAAAACGCCCATTTTCCTACTGTTGACCTCCTAGTAAAAAAATCTGCATAATTCTATTTCTGAAGTAATTATCATAAACTATACTCATATAAATAATAAACAATGATGAATTGACTCGCCGACAAAGAGTTACATCGTGTTTGGATGTTAATATTGTCGTAAAATAGAGTAAAGGAAATAAGTTTTTTTTCTGCATTGAACACGTGTTTGAATAATGTTCCTTATCAATATTGATGTAAAATATAGGCAGGTATGTTATATATTTATGGGTCGATTTTAATTAATATTGTATTTTAATTTGTACATGTATATTACAGAGCTTCTTACGAACAAATGACCTAAGGAGAAATCTGATAAATGTATATCAATTAAAAGCTTATACAGTCCAAAGATATATATTCTTGAGAGTTTTTTTAGTCATGAATATTTTATTTTTATGCATATTCAAATTTTCATGTTCATTTATTATTTAAAAGGCCAATAAAATAGCAATTCGGTTAGATAAAGAAAAAAAAAAAGAATTCTGTACAGGTATAGGTATTACGTTTGCCGAGTGTTATGTAAAATTATGTGACATAAAATATCTAAAATAGGTTATATATTTAAGAAACTTTCTGGTGGATTTTTATTAGAATTTTCATTTGCAGATATTATTCGCTCTTTATCTTAAAACTATTCTAAATACGAAGAAAATAATCAGAGATAGGAAAACGCTTCCTCCATATTGTAAAATTTTCAATTTACCGTGCAATAGATACAAAATTTACAATAAATTACCATATTATATATATATATTTTACATATTGCAATCCGTTGAATACAAATTAAAGTTATCATATGACTCTGCTGTTTGATTATGTCTCAACAGAAAAATTATATAGATCAATATAATAATGATTATAAAACGTCAAACCACTTTTGTTTTTATCTCTGACACAGTGTCAACACATTGTAAATTAATAATTTAGCATGAAAGTTGTGTATAATCATAGCAAGAAAAAAAAAATGGCCGTAGGTAACTAGATCAATGAACTCATAGATTGAGCCAACTATTGATTCTTATAATTACTTTGATCATGTTATACCCATTCTTGGATGTTTTATTTGTGAATTAATAATCAAATTGGAGATGAATTTCATTACTTACTGGAATACAATGTTATTGTAATTTGTAGTATTCGGTAAAATGTTTAGCTACAGAAATATTATGTACATCTAAATATTATAAAATTCTGCAATTTGATGACAAATATACTGCATGATCTTGCATTCTTAAGAAAACTATGTACATTTATCACCAAAACTTATGATATTTTCTATTCTCATCAGTGCAAATATCTCTGCTTCTCCATCTTGATGTAAATATTTGTATACTATATTAAGGTACCTTTTGTACCATTTGTTTTATTTTATTTTATTTTTTATTTTGAGGAAGAACACAGGTACTTGTGAACAGGACCCCCCCCCCCCCCCCGAAATTCAACCCCGGGGCTTGTTGGACATTTTTTCACAAATTATATTTATTGCACTTATTCATCATGTGTACCATAGGAAATAAATCGTGAAAACCCCAAAATAATCGTTCCACACAAAAATACCCTACAATACATTATGTCTCTTATATAATATATGATGAGGCATTTTTTGTGTGGAACGATTATTTTGGGGTTTCCTATGTTTCTAATGTTAATCAAGTCAAACTTAAATTGAATTTTCTAAAAATGCATTATTTCGATTATTTAATATGTACGAACATGTCAGTTTACAACATTATAACTACAGAGTTTTGCCATGTCTTCTTTTCTTTGACAGATACCTCGTTATATAGATGATGACAAAGAAAATTCAGAGTCATGTCATTTATTTCTAAACAAAAATCACACAAAGGAAAAGTCGTGATCAGTGGACCATCTCAACGCCAGGACAGGAAGCTGTTAGCGCTAGTCAATCTATAAATAGAGATATATATGTCAATCAAAAAGTAAAGATCAAATACCATTAGTAAATATATAGTACTTTAAAGGACTCTTTTATTTAATCTTCAAAGTTACCAAAATTGACCCAAAACCGGAGCACAACTCACCAAAAATGGAGTAAGAGGCATCCAGTTGATAGAGTCAGGTGAGTTTAATACCCAGACCTCCTGCGGGAGGGGCGGCGTGGGCGTTGTCGCCGGGTGTTCCTGCGCCTGGTGATGGAGGGTTGGTTAGCGTAATACTCGTCTTGGTTTACGGGGGGATCGGTGACGACAGGCCTCCTGTATACCGGACGGCGGGTGGGTTCCGGATAGTCGTACTTTCTGGGGTACTTGGAACTGTAGTCGTACTTTTTCTGGTAACGTCTCCTGTACTTGCCATTGTCGTATGACTTTTTGGAGGGGTACTTTTTGTCGTAGGAGCCTTTCTGGTATTTACTTGGCATAACCTGGTCGTACTTAGGCTGATAGGTGTCCATGGATTTATAATTGTCGGCCATTTTGTCAAATTTAGCAGGTAAGATATTCATGACTTTGTCGACGATCGGATAATTTTCGTTCTTATCATACCTGTTTGGGTACACATCCACCTTTTCGTAAGCCTTTGTTGGATAAGGATCGTAGACTTTGTCATACTTAGCCGGATACTGGTCCATCTTCTTGTCAATTTTGGCTGGGTAAGTATCTATACCCTTCTCAAACTTAGCCGGGTAAATATCTGGGACTTTTTCATACTTTTGATACTTTTCGATTTTCCCTGGATATTTGTCCAAGGTGTTGTCGTATTTTGGTTGGTACTTATCAACAGGATACTTATCCACTGGATATTTGTCTACCGGGTATTTATCCACTGGAAACTTGTCTGCTGGATACTTATCCACTGGATATTTATCTACTGGATACTTGTCCACTGGATATTTATCTACTGGATACTTGTCCACTGGATATTTATCTACTGGATACTTGTCCACTGGATATTTATCAACTGGATACTTGTCGACCGGATATTTATCAACTGGATACTTGTCGACCGGATATTTATCTACTGGATACTTATCCATCGGATATTTATCAACTGGATACTTGTCGACCGGATATTTATCTACTGGATACTTATCCATCGGATATTTATCAACTGGATATTTGTCCACTGGGTACTTCTCTTGAATCTTATTGTATGATTTATCAGGGAAGACATCCATTTTCTTGTCAAACTTACCAGGATACATGTCTACCTTTTTATCAATTTGTCCAGGAAAGACGTCCATTTTCCTGTCCATTTTTGGCTGGTAGTTTTGGATATTTTTCTTCATCTGATCCATGGGTCTTCTAGGTTGGAAGTTAGGGTCAACAATAATAGTTTGGCTCTCGTCATTATCAAAAGCCCTGGTTTCAATGATACCAACACCCCTCTGGACGGTTCCAAAATCTGTCTGAACATCGAAAGGTTGACCGACAACGTCGAGGCCTTGGATCTGCGCAACTCCGCGACCAGTGTCGAATCCTGAAGGCATTCCACTGTCGAATCCAACGACAGCTACTGTATCAAATGTGTTCGGAGCATTAGAAAAACCACTGCCACCTCCAGCAGCGAAGGGCATGTCAGTGGCCATGCTCCCACTAAAGCTGTTACCGGTGACCTGAAACGTATCGGCACAGTTTGGGTCCCGAGGATCGCATGGTTGCTGCTGACAAAGAGTTGAGGATAGGAACAAAAGGGAAACCACTATCGACAACATCTGGAGATAAAAAAAAATAAATTAAGCTGAATATAAAGTGATTCCTATAGAAGAGGATTACAAATTAATCACTAAATATCCCATAGCATTAAGCCGATTAATATTCTACATTAAAAATCAATTTATATCATAAATTTATGTTTAAAAAATTGACATAAAAATTAACAGTCTTTAAAATTATAATTAAGAACTTTTCCGGTTATTAATATATGAATTCTCACCTCTCTTCAGCTTGGTGAACTACTTTGCAATAGATAACATATGAAAATGTGTCTCCTTTTATATAAATTGTAAAACTATAAATATATACAAGAATTCTGATATGTAAATAAAACATATTTCTGTAGAAGCCCAAAGATTACCGCCATTTTTATTATCAATAATTAATAACAAACGTGATCTTTAAGAGCAAAAGACAATTAATTATGCATATAAGCAACCAAAGGTGTTTAACATGAAAAGTTAAGCTGTTAGACTGGAACCCTGGTGACCACCTGTGGCTCATGAAATGTTGCTTATTAATTTTGTGCGTCTAAATAAGGCTCACATGCTAATAAATTTATGAAAAGTATTCCTTCTTAATTATATTTTTTCCTACCAATTGAGAACTCGTTCAGACAGAGAATTGCTAAGCTTTACTGCAGGTGTATATGAGCAATGTACGCCTTTAATGTCTGGACTGATTTGATTCATAGTGTTTTGTCGGCGATATATCGGAGTTCGATAGACTTATCGCAGAAATATGTCCAAAAAATTACCTCGTGTGATTTGCAGGTAATGCGTGTGTCATTCCTTTTTTGAGAACTGATTTAAAAGTTTTTAAGATAATGGTAAATCTTTTGCTACATACAGACAACTGCAAGAAAACAAAATTAAACTACATTTAGATCGATTCTTATAGACAAAAGGGCCTTATTATTTAAAGTGTGTCACACGTAATGCATCTCCAATAAATTGCTAAAACTGCTATTTGGTACATTTTTACATTTGATATTTCCACTATCATGCATGAACTAGATCACCCAAAACTCAGAGGCAATTTGTCAAACAGTATATTATCTATGATACTATCAACTACAATTTTACAAAAATGAAAACAAAATTGTCAATGTATTGAAAAACGAACTACCTTTTTTATTTGCTAGATGAGAATGTAACTGAATTTTCGACGAATGATTATTGCCTTCCCAGTGAAGCAGGTGTATTTAATTCTCTATAAAGGCATTGATAATAGTAAATTGGAATAACTGGATTTTTCATTAAAGATAAAAATCATTCAAGATTGTGCCTACATTTATCTCTACAACATATTAGAGTGACTATTCCCCAATGTGTTGTTTAGAGTTATTATTGTTCAGGCATATACAATTTTGCTTTAACACTACTTATTTTTCAAAAGAAATCTAACTACAATAAAATTTTCAAAAGAAATCTAATTACAATTAAAATGTGCCCATATTTATTATACCTTGCTTATTTTGATAGAAATGCCTTTTATCTTAAGAATTTCATACAGGGATAATAGTGATTTATCCAAGTGAGAGTTATCTCTCTTTTCAGATGGTCAATGTACCTTAAGTATAATCTTTTCCAAAAAAGGTTTTTGTTTGTTGTTTAATGTCCCTCTCGAGAATTTTTCACTCATATGGAGATGTCACCACTTGCAGGTGAGAGCTGCAAATTTTGACCTACGCTCGGCACTTAGGGCCATTGAGCAGTGAAGGATCTTTTTCGTGCCAGCACCTACTGCGACATGGGACCTCGGTTTATACGGTCTCATTCGAAGGACCGGTCTCCACGTCCCACAGTGGGATTCGAACCCGCGACGTAAGGATCAACGCCTTACTCCGCGACTCTAGAGCAGATGCTCTTACCACTGCGCCACGCGGGCAACTTCCAAAAAGGTAACTACTACCCTGTGTGAGACTCAGTGGAAATATGTACGAGAATTAAGAGTGTTTCATATCTGTACATCATAACTTCTTTCAACTGTAGTTAAGGTGAAGCCCTACTCTTTTGAAGTCACATTGTAAACCCAAATTGCTATTGCCTTGCGCAGTTTATACTTCCCCTCGAAATTTTCCAATTGTTTTTAAGATTCCAATGTAATATTCTTCCCAAAATGATTGAAAAAAGACTGCTTTTCAAATATGGGAAAAAAAAAACTGGCTCAGTGTTTGAGAAATGTACAGAGATGCATCTACCTGATAATGAGATTTCGATCTGCATAAAAGTGCTTCATTGTCTTGTTAGGCCAAAGTTTTTGGCAAGATTTGATTTTTGTGAAAAACATAGAAAAATGTATTAATTGATTATTTTAAAAGAGATGTGATTTTCCCCCCAGTGGTCATACCTAGAAATGACATTCTTTCACAAAATGAGTCTTAGTGGAAAATGTCAAATTTCTATAATTTTAAAGCACATATAACTTTTTATATAAATGCAATTACATGTATTTTTTTTTTCTTAATTAAAAAAATGAAGATATTTATATGTTAAATAATATATATTTTCCAAATTCGAATTTTTCTCAGATATTTACCAAAATATTTTAAATTAAAATTTACATGTACATCAATAGCAAAGTGTTTTTGACTTTAGATTTTTAATTTTTTAAAGAAAAAAATTATTTTAATGTAACATTTTTAAAATATTAAAATATTTTTAATATGTAATTATTTTCATTATCCCTTTCCCCCCTTCATTTTCTTTGTTTTATCTATAGCTGAGGACATGTGTATTAATTTGTCTGGGTTTCATTTTGCCAAAGCAGGGTTGGTCTGTACCTCCAACTTTAAGTGGCGCTCCCCCCAAAGCAAGATAAATAGAAATGACAGTTGCTTTCATTGCATTTGTAAATCAAATTGATTCATCGATATGAAAAATCAGTCATAAATGATGACAAAAAAGGAATGAATATTCCACGTGCTGATACCTTGGATCTTTGTCACGTGATGATGCCGATGATTTCTGTAGATTATGCTGCATGTGGTGGTGATGGACAACACAAGAAATAGAAAAGGAAGAAAAGAGTACCGTTGTTTTTCGCAACTGTAGCATATTCAAAATCTTTTTTACTAGTTCTACCAACTTTTCATCACAATTAATATCTGGAAAATTTAACGATTTGCGTTCATATTTTACACACTCCCATATTGGGGAGTACCTATTGTACAATTAAACCCTTTTTATAAAATCATAAATTAATAATTATCTGATGAAAAAATAAAAAATAAAAAATAAAATTGACAAAATGTAGAAGCAAGTAAGACAGTTTAAAGCAAATTCTTAAAATACTTTGTTCATAATTTTTACACATATTATCATTAACAATCATTTTACCGAACTAAATAAAAAAATAAATCTCATTTCAAAGGTGCACTTTCTAACAAACCGCAAATAAATCGGCCTCTCCTGCGGCCGATAATGATAAATTTCTCGTGGCAGTTGCTTAAAATTAGCAAACATCAACCATATGTTTATTTCCATCGCCCATATTCAGAAACTTACAAATACCATCCTTGTTAAATCGCAATGAAGAAGTAAATAAAATATTTTGTTTATGACATCAAGTTATCTATGTACATATATTGATTTCAAAGAAAACTATTTTCCCTTGTCGATTTAGCAGTAAGTATGCTATAATTCCTTATCAGTTGACATTGATATGATAATCAGTTTTAATAGCGTCCTTCCTGTATCTTAGCAAGAAAATTATAGCAAAAGGAGAGTGACGTCAGAACATGTCGGCAGCCATCTTCTTTTGTCTGTTTGCTAGTGTTTGGGGTGTGGCATTGGGCGGGGACAAAGTGTACACTGAACAGTTTGTTTTGACGCTGATGCAGAAGTTAAATCGCTTGGAACAAGAATTCTCTATGTTTAAAGAGGAAACTGCCGCAAAATTTCAAGAATTTCAAACGAAATTGGACCATTCTGACCAAACGGTGAAGGAACTAGGAGATAGACTGCAGTTGGCCAACAAGAAGGTGGACTAACTCACGAGAGACTTGGAGCACTCTGAAGTAGTTTCACAGGGGCTGGCGAAGCAGACCCAGGGTGGCACTGATAAGACGTATTCCCTCCCCTCAGAGGAACTGAAAACGAACAATACAAACCAAAATTATGACAAAGAACAGAAAAATACTTTGCCAGTAGGTTTAAAGGATTCGCAAGGTACGTTGATCACATACCTACATCACAGAAATAGCTGAAATGTTTCAACGTATGTTTACCACAAAAACCGAGAAATACGTATAAATAAATGTATGTTCAACATACAGCGTATCTTTAAAGCTGGTTGTTAAAGGATGGTTAACCTTTACATCCTTTTTATCTCTGTGTTAAACTTGATGTTAAAGTTAATCACCCTTTGAACAACCTGCCCAAGTTGTTCACAAACATGATTTTGGTATACGTTTATATGTCACATATAAATATTTTAGCATATGTTTAAGACATTTGGGCAACCGTATACAATTTAACATACGTTCAACCTATTTTAAAGTGTATCACCAACACAATTAAATAATTCTAAGCATGCTGCTATAAGGTAAACATATGCTTAGCATTCTTTCCGCAAATGTTGCTTGCGATGTATGGAAAACATGTTGCAAATTTGTCTGTGCAAGTATTTGAAGATCTATTATAATTATTTATGAAAATAATTATTGCTAATAGCTGAATGATTGCTGTCATTGCTAGCTGCTAACTGACAAATGGTAATTGTTCAATGTATGTCGCTAGTTGCTCTTTGCTGATAGCTAATTGCTGCTTATGAAAAACTAATTGTAAATTGTTTGCTGTTTCTCAAATGTTATAGGCGAAAAAAGTTTTTTTCTTTGTCAACTACTATTACCAACTACTAATTTAGAGATATTAAAATGAAAAAAATATTTGCAAAGAAGGCACCAAGAAGTACAACAGCTACATATAGTCCAGTGCGATTCAAACCAAATCACTTTTGTGAATGATTAAAAAAATTTGATGACAAAAATGGATTT